CTCCATCATTCCCGCACTGCGTGCGTGTGTGTGTGTTTTGTAACCCTTTAATTTCTTCGAAAAAAATTCCAAACCGTTACGTCGACGTCGTTCTTCCGCGCGCATACCGATAAGATATTATTGTCGTTGTTCATTTCACGCCGGGCTGCTTGCGGTGTTCGGAATGTTTTCACGTTAACCTCTGGGCGCGCGCGCACCTTCACGTGCCAAAGGATCCGCGTCCGATCGTCAGGAATGCGCGTAAATAATAATGATTCGTTGCGCAACGCCGTTTGCCTTTCTGCAACACGAGAATAATTTACCGCGTACGCGTGGGCACACGGCGCGCTGGCTATCGATGGCGCCGGTTAACAGTTTTTACGCGCAAACGAAACCCATCCGATCCGGACAATTACGCGCACGTACTTCGGGGAGTGTTCAACGCCGAGTTGACAACCGCGTGACTAATAAACGTTAGACGGTTTCTCGTTGTCCGAGCAACCGTACGCGAATACGACCGATACGGAGGCCATCATAATCGTATAGGTCAGAAGTGTATTTTACGGGGGGCCGAAGGAGCGATCGCCCCCTCTCCCCCGAATCCGTATTTAAAGGATTGATTGTATGCGAGATACCTACGCGTTTCAAATGTTTTCAATGTAGATCATTATGTAGCAAAATCGAATCATGCGCGGCTGTGAATACTGAATCGTGCTTTTTACTAAGTCCATGCTTAGTGAAAAAATCAAAACCCAAGCGTAACTTTCAAAACACAGACATGTGTTAAAAAAGAATTTTAAGTGGATTCCGGTATTGAATTAAAAAAAAAAAAAAAAAAACACAAATATTAAAGATTCACCTGATTTAAATATTACCAAACATTTTACTCGTAAATTTTAAGCCTGAATTAAAGAAAAAATTTGAATTGCCTCCCCCTCCCACACATGAAATAAGTCTAAATACGCCCCCGGTACAGTTTCGATCGTTTTTTTGTTGTACCGGTGCGTAAAAATACCAGTCCCGATTGTTTTCGATTTTCCCGCGTTTCTCTTACAGAAACGGACAATTTTCTCACCCGTTTTCGTACATAAATATCATGTACCTTTAATATTTATTCCTAAATCTTGAATAAATCAGATGTGAAGATCAGTAGTAAAACATCAATATTAATGCAACAGTCTGAACGCCGTGCGAAGTGCTCCGGGAATCTGAACTTTGACGATTGAGGTGACGCGGCGGGCGGAGCGGTTGGGTCTTCAAATCGTACGTAAGCGCGGTGGCGCCGAAAACGTTGTTTTCCTTCTCACCAATGGCTTATATAGGGGGGCTTAGTGGGCTACAGCTCCCCCCCCCACCGAAATGTTGTAAAACCTTAAAAATTATTCTAAACTTATATTTTAATGGTGCTTTATGCTTATTTAGAATTTGTGTCCAACGTCAAATCGTTTTGGAACATTCTGTTAATGAAATGTAGATAAGTACCTACTGTGTCTTGTTGGTAATTCTTAGATAGCAGTGGTAATTTAACTCTCTCCATAGTAGCCCTTCCCGAAAATATTTTCTGTATACGCCACTGCTCCTCACAGTCTGTACCGAACAGTTCTCCGTCAATTGTGCACGCTTACGTCGTCCGTACCGTTACGAATGGATTTTTTAAGCGCGCCAAATCAATACATTCGTGACTCGTGCCGGCGAGTTGACGATTTTATTCGACGTCGCGGCTGCAGAATTTGGAAAAAATTTGACCGCGATGTACCCGGCAAGTTAGGCCTACACGAACGGTTTTTTTCTCGTCCCACTGGATGCGTTGTTCGATGTTTTCCTGTCCGGTTGAAGAATTTGACCGCTCAACGAATGCACCGTCGTAAAAAACCACGTTGTAATTGTTATCCGCGATGACGACGAACTCGAGAAACGTAATAAATAATAATTATTATGCATTGTCACGAGAAATGGAGATATATTGTTGTCGATTCAGTTTTCATTGAATTCGCCGATGGCTATCAATGAATGCTTTTATGTGTTCAATTACTTTTTTTTAAACAAGGTTTTTTTTTTTTCGTCGTGCATTTTTATTATTATTATTATTTTTACTTTTTCCCATCGAAACCACGCGTGTGCGCTGCATTATAGATATAATTGTTAAATCGCCATCGTTACTATTTTTTGAACAAATCACACGTAGATTATTATTTAACCGTATGGAAAACGACATTTTATTTATGTAGACGATGCGGGGCAGGGAGAGATGGCGATAAAATACGGTTTAAATCTAAAAAAAAAAATAATAAAAAGTCAATAGTTTCAAACGTTTTGTGAGAATCAAAATGTATATATTAACGTATTCATACCTAAGATCTGTTACGCGTTAATGCACATACTTTTATGTGTTGTTATTCTCGCGTCAGAAAATATTTATTATTGGTCATAAGTACAGTTAGCAACGCTCGGGGTTGTCGGCACTACGTGATTGTCACAAACACTGTTTGGACGTTACGGAATAACTTAATTCCTGCATCGAAGTGAATGTCCTATTCGAAAGATGATACCTAACGAATTCTTCCGCGGCGCTCTACCGGTTAGCGGATACAAGGTCGGCAGCGATATTTCGAGGATGTGTAATGCACGCACTCAACTATCACTGAATTCCTTATCACTTGGTCAACACGCGTTTCAACATCAGAACTACTTACTGTATGATAATTTTATTACTACACACACACACACACCTAAAAATAACTATCTATGATGGTGCGTACACACACACGAATGCGTATATTTGTACAATTTGAGTGTGTGTTTGAACGTTTAATGCGAGTAGTTAGATAACTTGTATTCATTAAATTGTTATGCAATCTGAACCTATATGTATCGTATAAACATGTAAATATGTACAAATTACTGTTCATATTACCCACGAGTTATTATTGTTGTTACTTAAAGTATTTCGCGTACACGAAAAGAAGTTTAAAAAAAATAATATTAATAGTAAAACTCTTAGTTTTTTTTTAATAACGATATTTTTAATAATAAATTCAAGTAATCACGTTGTACACGTGAGATATTAAAATAAAAATAAAACGTGATCCCACTGTCTTCGTTAAAACGGAATACATCAAAATTGTTTGTACAAACGCTTTACGTTCGTAGTTAACTGCGCATTTTTATGGATACTATTAACTAACAAAACTAATTGTTTTATTTTACCATACCATTGAAAACATTAACGCGCCAGGCTTTGCGACTACTGAATTTCATCCCGTTCGAAAGAGATTTCTGGTTTTCGATTAATCCAACCGTACGTACACGACATAAAGAATTATAATTTGTAGTAAACGTCATGTTTGCTGCCAGTTTTATTAATACGCATACGCGATCTCGTCAACGCGTGTACACGCATGCATATTATTATTGTCGTTAAATAGATTTGTACGCTATTAGACCGACAGGAGTATAACAATAATTCATTTACCACAGCTGAACGTGGATAATAGCATTATTACTACCATGGAATCTTAAATATTTTTATTTTTTACTGTCGGGCCGGGATTAACAACGAAATAAGTCTAACGTGTTTAAAATAAATTACACACGAAAAAATTACCATAATCGAAAAAAAAAAAACCAATAGAAAAAATGATGATAGTTTATTGTACAATGTGTGCATTGTGATGTGCTTTTCATTTCTTATAACAACACGAGTTTTAATTTCATTTATTTCGGTAATTTTTTTTTTTCCTGTAAGAATATTTTGGTGGGAATAAGTCAAAGGTTTCGCAAGCAGGTGGCACATGGCGGAAGATTACCTCAATAACTATATCGATGCAAAACATATACTATATAACACGCATTATTGTTACGCACAGTGTACATTATGTACAACATTATCGAATAATATTTTTTCTGAAATAAACACAAATTGAATAACCTCAAATTTTTAACCGTTTAAAAATCCCCAACGGTTCGAACTGACCATAGTTTACTTATGGTTTACCAACAGGGCTGATCGGTGTTAGTAAACGGTATTGGGTTTGGTTGTTCTATCAAATATGTATCGAACTTCATGTATACGTATTTTGAACTGTTACAAAACACACATTATCCTTCTTGCCCACGCGGAAGTCGATTTGGACTCGATTAAACGGTTCAAATCGTTTACACGGTGTATAGTATGCATGAGTCAACGGTCGAAAAAATATTCATTTTACTTATGCGTAAATGACCCCCGACCGTCGTACGGATATAAACTTACGAATAACAAACGCCGGCGGTGGGCAAGCCGTAAAAACGTACGCGTTTATTAATAATATAATTGTTATAATTATAATAATGGTTCGCGCGTCACGCACCATTAGGGCCGTGTTTCTGAACCGCTCCGTTGGGCGCGCACGCGGAACGTACACGCAGGGACTGGTACCTTTTTACGGCTCCGGTTCTCAATTATTTTATTAAAACGTTCGGGTTCCGGTTATTGTAAAATAAAAAAAAAGAGTTTGGGTCCGGGTTGCGGTATTATAGGGTTCTAAATAAATTTTTTTAAATTCATTCCGCAGTATTTTTTGATACATATTTAAAAATTACCTACATGTTACCGGCATTATGGCATTATACTAGGCATGCAAATAATATTGAAAGTTAAGATTAAAAATAAAATGTTTAAAAAAATTATATCTCAGAAATTTATTTATGCTTTGAAAATTTAAGAATAAAAACATTATTAATAATGTTTGTTATTATGTGATTACAAATCCGATATTTTTCGTTTTATAACGAGGGTTCGGTTCCGGTTCTTTGAATATGTAAAAATTCGATTCCGGATCCCAATATTTTTAGGGTTCTTGGGTTCCAGAACCGGTTCTTTTGGGTTCGGTTCCAGTCCCTGCGTACACGACGCGCGCGCACGCGTTGTTTAGCCACGAAAACCCGGTGCTGCGCGTTACCGCGATCGGTACACGCGTCCCATGTTTGTACGGCAACAAGTTATATTTTATTTTTTTGTTTTCGTTTTCTCGCTGCCCTAGGGGATGGATCGTGGAGTTCCTGCAGAGAGACGGACTAGGTGCTTTGCTGAGCGGCTTGCGGGCGGCCGGCGGAAAATCGCTGCTGGACACCATGGCTCAGTTGCAGTGCGTCGAATGTCTGCGGGCCGTCGTCAGGTCCCGCACCGGATTGCACTACATATCCACTCACCTGGAGTACTCGTCGTACCTGGCTTCGGGTTCGTTGATTTTTCACTTTTCTCGCCACCGCACCGTCATCGGTCCCGCGTGATAATACATGTCCGTCCGGTGCATAGAATCTCCCTTGCGCGTTAGTGTTACTAGATCAGTGCATGGGCGTAATTTAGCGGGGGAGAGGGACGAAGGGGCGATTGCCCCCCACCATGAATCCGTATTTAAGGAATTGATTGTATGCAAGATACGCATTTCAAATTTTTTTAATGCGGATCATTTTATAACGAAATCAAATTACGCGAATACTGAATCGGGCTTTTTCTCAGATCAATACTTAGTGAGAAGTCAAATAAAATACAAGCGTAACTTTCAAAACACAGACAGGTGTTAAAAAAAAAAAACTTGACAACAGTAGATTTTAAGTGGATCCGGCATTAGATTAAAAAAAAAACCACAAATATTAAGGATTTGCCTGGTTTAATTACATTTTACTTGTACATTTTGAGCTTGAATTAAAGAATAAAATTTTAGTCGCCCCCCCCCCTAGAATTAAGTCTAAACACCGGTACGAATCCAACATCGGAAAATCGTTAACCCTACGAACACGTGTATTCGTGCGCGTGTAAATATTTCGATTAAAATTGATTCATGTTTTTTTTTTTTTTTTAATCGAATACGTTATTGCGTTGCGTAGTATGAGCAAAATTAATTTCGCAATCGCCAACCGCTGACCACAGCGAAATCTTAAGTTTACAAACTCTACGATCATTTTGTTATATTTTCGAAATGAACGGATTAGCGGACTTGCTGCCGCGTTCCAATGGAATGCGTTCTTAATATATGTACTTGAAATAATTATCTAACGCTTTATAATAGTACATGAACTCTCGCATGCACGCTATCAGTTTATAAACTATGCCGAATTTAGCTTATCAAAAAAACAACAAAGCTGATATCAATCAACCAGGATTTCCTTTAGAACTGCATTACTTTAACTGAATTTTGTAATCAAAATATCTCATTCACTAGAATTAAAACTAAAGAACCCGTGAATTCTACGCGAATTGCAATAATGTATGTATATTATTGTTATGGAGTGTTTAACGGTATCGTTGCTGTTGCGTGGTTATCATAATACATTCCAGTGGGTTAGGTTTATCTCCCCGACACTGGACACCTTTTAATAGTAAATCCATTTTCACACCATTTTTAGAAAAGTTATTTATGCACTAGCTCTTGCTAAATATTTCCGGTTGTCTGTGATTAATAAACGCATTGATTGAGGTACGAGTATTGACCAACTGAGTCGAATGACGATTTCTATCGCGCGCAACCGATGTAATAATTTTAAAAAATATGTATTTACTATGATTTTAGCAGTTATGATATGTAACAACACTATTGTCAAGCTCCAAGTATACGAACTGTTGTGCGCTTTGTGCGTGTTTTCCGCGGACGGGCTGATTTTCGTAAAAGCAGTTTTGTCACACGTAAAGGTAAAACATAATGTTGTAACACTGTTATGATAACAAATTCCAGTGGCGTGCTCAAAAGTTAGAGGACGATTTCATTAGTATTAATGGGCGTTAAAAATATAACTGAACAATTATTTTTTTTTTTATATATATCGTTTGACTTGATTAATGTAAATGCGACGAAGTTCAGTACAATTTTAGCGCCAGCTTATAGAAAATATCGATAATATACCATTGCCCGGGATAATAATTGAACAAAGGTAATACACAAAACAATCACACACCTCCGAGTTGTTATACAAAGTAATAAATGTTGTACGATTCACACGGGATCTAACGCGTATAGAATTTTATAGTTAACAACATTTTCATTCAATACGTTTGTCGAATTTCGGTGGTGGGATCCTGGATAAAATTTGGTGGTATTTTGAGATATAAAATCGCCTCTCTTCGGACGAGCTTCTGGTACGCCATTGAGACGTAATTATGACCGTCGTTCGAGATAATATCGAGTATATTATTTCGTCGTCGTCGTCGTTTCCTATAAACGTATTATTATAAAAAACTATTGTATGCAGATAGATCAAAGGTTACGGCACGATTACGAAATCGCCGTGTTGGAATTGCAGCAGGCAGACACGTTCGCTTATCAAACGACACTGTTGGCTTTCGTCAACTGTCTGATTCTGGTCGAACAGAATTTGAGGAAAAGGATGTGCATCAGGAACGAACTGTTAGGTGCGTGTTTTATGTTGCCTTGGTGCAGTTACGATAATACAATTAATAACATTCAATTGAAATTGAATATTAATATTATTTTCAAGTCGTCCACTTTCTCGTACTAATTCGGTATAACACTAGACGGATAATCATTATTTTTGTAATTTTTCGTTTTGCTTCTCGTGTTAGCTCTCGGACTACGGTCGGCTATTGACAGCATGGCCGGCTACGAAGACGACGCGCTTCAAATACAAATATCCGTGTTCGACGAGCACCAGTTGGCCGACGACAACCAAGAGCCTCCGAAGTCGCACCATGAGCTTCTCGACGAGTTGAGGACCAAGGTAAAATGCTTGAATCGTATTTTTTTCGCTCTTTTCAATTAGAAGCAATATTAATACAACAATTGTTTTCGTTCATCTAGATCTCCAACACGTTGTACGACTCGTATTTACACAACATACTGTTGCACATGTCCGAAATGGATTACACCGATACGAAAATGTAAATATGTACACTTTATTGCAACATAATGCTATAGTTCTTATTTATTTAGTGTTACGGATTCAAACCGCGTACAGTCCGACACGCGCGTAGTACTGTTTTCGAACTTTTGACCGTAATGTTTCTACTGCAAAATCGATTGACAACTGAACAACTGTTCATATAATCATTTGTTTTCAATTTGTTTCAGTAACGACATTTGGGGTTTGATCAACGAAGTGATTTGTAACGACCCGCAAACAATACTGGATAAATACAGGAAAACGTCAAAAACGCATTCCACTGGGTCTCAGACCATAGAGAAAAGACTTATTAAATATTTATCTCCGAGCACGCGACGCCTGAGCTTAGATGTTTCGAAAGATAAACGGACCGTTGTCAAAACCAAAAGGCCGTCGCTGCCCACGCTGCAAGCTGCCAACGGATTAAGCGAGAACACGAAATCGAACGTTCGGCCAAACAAAAAACCGATACAGTGTTCTACATATACACAAACGGACCATGCGTGTTGTCGTGACGGTGGCGGACGTACCGCGGCCGATTGTATTCCTGAACCGAATAACAATCGGTTGAACTTATCTGATGGAAATCGTGAACAGATTCCGTCAAGTAAACAAAACGAGTTGTGTGAAAGCTCAACAACGCCACAACAAACGCTTCTTTCGTCTTGTACGTCACTCGAAATTCTATCAGAAATTCCGCCATGCCCACCACTACCTGCTCCGTCAAGGATTCCGGTACCGCCACCGCTTCCGGCTGTATCGAATATCCCACCACCTCCGCCATTTCCGACCGCGAGGATTCCATTTCCTCCACCACCACCTCCGATCCTAGAAATGGCTCCTCCGCCACCACCACCCCCGCCACCACCGCCAACACCTTTCAAAGGAATGCCATCACCACCACCGCCGCCGCCGCCGCCGCCTCCACCACCGAACCAAGAAATCATACATGCATCACCACCACCACCACCACCTTTACTGGAATTGGTACCATCACCGACTTTATTAGCGGGAATGCCATCTCCAAATTCATTGACATCTCCATCAACTCTTCCGTTCCCGGAACTTGATCAAACAAATTTTAGCAACCTAAACATTTTGGACGGACGGTGGACAGTGCCGACAAGACGAACAAATAACAACATTAAATACAATTCTTTACCTAAGTCTAAAATGAAGACTCTGAATTGGACTAAAGTCAACAATCAATATTTCGGTAAATTTTTTACGGTTTTAATAATTAACCGGTTGCATGAACTTATTTGAGCCTTACTAATAAATACATTTCCAGATAAGTCAGTTTGGTCGTCAGCGCATCCTCCGAACTTAACTATAAACTTTCGAAAAATCGACGAACTCTTCTGTCAGAAGCCCAGAGCGAAATCTTCGCCGGCAGTTTTATCTACTGACGTACCCAAAGTGAATGTTTTAAACGTTTTGGATAATAAACGGAGTTTAGCGATTAATATTATGCTCAAACAATTCAAATCTGGTTCGAACGAAATCCTAGAAGCTCTTCAAAACGGAACGTCAATTTCTATTGAGAAATTGAAAGGGCTTCAGCGAGTCTTACCCACAGATGACGAGGTAAATAATAATGAAAAATAACGGATAAAGTGTAAAAATAGCGTTATAGCATCAATTACTTGCGGACCCTCAATGTTTTAATTGTTTTAGATAAAAATGATAAAAAAACAAGCCTGCAACACGCAGGTCACCTTAGGGACAGCCGAATCTTTTTGCCTGAAATTGCACGGAGTGTCAAATTATCAACTGAAAATAAAACTTATGATCGAAGTAAGTTTTTATTTAATATTTTCAAAGGCATACTAGAGAAGATAGTTTTAGGTGTTAAGCAAGCCCAAACCAACCGGTTTATATTTTACACAGTCAAATTTTTCTAAAACTCCGATTATGCAAATGTCACATTTTTTACGAGCTTATTTGAGTATCCGCTGTTTAAATAAATATCGAATTTAAGAATGGAACGAGATATATGAAGTACGTATATTCGTTTTCAGATCATTTGAGTGATATTTGGTTTTTTTAGGGGGATTACTTTAAATACAGAAAACATTATTTGAAACTCATTGCGATGTACTGAATGAAGTGTATTGTGTTCATAAATTTTCTCTACATGTCTTAAAATATTTTATACAAATGGTCAACTTGTTAAGGTTGTATTCGTGTCTTTTAGAAAGAAGAACTACCCGCCTCTGTGGCAGAAATACACGACCAACTGAACGGTATCAAGGACATGTGTCATAATCTAATCGGAGACCAGCAGTTCAAGCAATTCCTGTCACTCGTATTGTTCATCGGCAATTACTTAAATGCCGTAAATATTAATTGAAATCGCATGTTCCCATCGACGTCCAGATCTGAATAATTACGACGCAATCGTGTTTTACAGGGAAGTTACGCTGGAAATGCCAGTGGGTTTACGCTTGACACGTTGCCAAAACTGCTCGACACCCGGGCCAACAAGCCGAGAGTGACTTTTCTTCATTTCGTCGTCGAGGTGGCGCAGACCAACTCTGACGACATTTTGAGTTTTACCAAGTACACGTCCACGTTGAGGGGTTTATCTCGGTAAGATATTTCGTCTTCTTCATTACATTTTTGTATGTGGTTGATCGTGAATAGTTTTCATAGTATTATTATGTTTTTGATTTCGGTAGAATTTCATTTTCGTCACTGGAAGAAGAAATCCATAACATAACGAAACAAATCCGGAGTCTGCATACCGAACTATCGAAGCAGACGAAAAAACAAGTTTATACTCAATTCTCAGATTTTATGAAACAAGCCATGATCGATGTGGAAACGTTAAACGAAGAGTTCAGAACCGTGACCGAGGTAATTGGAAGGGTAGCTGTTCACTTCGGCGAGGACGCGAAAAAATTTAAAATCGAAGAGTGTTATGCACTGTTGGGA